AGACCGACATAAACTCGCGCTCAAGATTGACCATGAGCACCCTGAGTCAAGGAGAGCCGAGCATGGTGTGCCGTCAACACACACAGTAATGATGGGTAGCACCGAGTTTACTTGCTGTTTGGGGAGTGGACCGGCGCTGAAGTCTCGTCCCCGCCTCCGTTTCCCGGACAATTTTGGCCAGATGACCGGTCTTGTTGCATCGATAGCAACGTGCGTTAGTTGCCCTTCGCCTCTTCATGCAGTCCCTCGCGAAGTGATTGGGCCCATTACATTCATAGCATGTGACAAGTGGGCCCATGTCTGGGGAAGAACGGGGAATCTGGGAGGGCTGCACCGCAGCGACGACTGGTTCCCTCTCTGCTGTCTCGTCCTTTATGATTGCCCGAGCTCGGGCCAATAGCTCCTCGAGAGACATATCATCCGCCCTGGCCGAGGACCGCAGGAGCCTTTTCACAGGATCAGGAAGCCCCCGCACGAACACGCATGCCATCGCACTGTCTGGCACTCCTCCAAAAAGGACGGAGAGCTTCCGTAGATCAGCCAAATATACATCTACGGTCTCACCCGGACGTAATATACGTGCCTCGAATTGTTCGTATGCCGTGAATTTATCAGGGGCAAATGCTGTCATCAATGCTCCCTTGATTCGAGCCACGTCCGATTTCTCTTCCGTAGATAGTTGCTGGTAAACCGCGAATGCTCCCCTGGTTAAGCGAAGGGGGATGACACGATCAAGCCGCTTCACTCCCGATAGGTCGCACACCAATTCCAATTTCTCGAGCCATTCAACCACAGATCCAGTCCCGTCAAACTCGGGAATTATCTTTAAATCAAACCGGCCGTCCATGTTCGCCGAAATAGCTTGTCGTATGTCCAGAAGTCGCTTTCTGTCTGCAATCCGTCTAGTCTCGCCGAAGCCTAGAAAAGCAGTGGCCTCCCGTCCACTCGCCGGGTTTTTAATCGGTAGCGTGGTTCTCTTATGCAAATAAGTCTGCTGCATAAAAATGGCAGTAGGCGCACGCGCGACCGACTCTCAGAGAATGGTTCGACACGCGAGGCAACGAATTCGCTTTGCTCCTGGTAAGTCACTGTCACTCCTATTACATTGTGCAATTTTTAAAAAATTTCAATAGGTACTACCAAAGATTTTGTTAATGTTCTTGCATGTACCTTTTTTTTTATTGTACTCGGAGATCCAATTATTGTGGGTAATTTCAAGCAAGCACATTTTTTTCAATTATAAGATTCTCATATTTACTTATTTTGTCATCTACTTTAAGGGATGCATTTATCTGATATCATTGCATATCTATGAAAAGTTTCTCTTTTGTTTAATTTCAATGTCTGGTCTATTAGCTTTTATATGTTTGTCAGTATGAATAATAAAGTCCCAAAGAATAGTGACTTCATGCATTTCCATGACTGTTTCAAGATGATGTTCACCACATTTTTCAGCATGTAATACTGACATATCTTTCAGTGAAAATGCTGCCCATTCTTATCATGTTGATTGTTGCATTACTTCAGTGTCAAGATTGGACAACCAGACACTCACTAATTGGTCAATCATGTCAACATATTGTTCACATAATCTACATGTTAGGTAGGTCTTCACCATTTCTTATTACTATTACATTTACCACATAATTCCTGGTAAATAGGCTTTGGTTCAGTACAGCCATTATAAATACCCCCATCTCTGCTCTGCACATTGTCAGGCTTTCTGTTTATCTACATCTGCATCATTACTTCTGGATGCATATGGGGCATGTAAGTATGTGTGTGTGTGTGTTTTTCTTTATGCCAGTTGTTTTTTTTTTTAATTAATCCTCCTGTTTTAGCATTATTTTTATGAGTTGAGCTGCATTTGTTGGTTGAGTATTTTAATATATTTCATTCAAAGTGAAGTTGAATTTCTTCAAGAATTTTTTGCTTTGTTTATAAATGAAGTTTTTTTTTGTTTTTTGTTTTTTCATGACTGTTTTATTTTTGTTTTTTTTAATCAGTATCTCACCATACAAAGAAGAATTAGGAACAGAAACATTAATAATGAGTGGAAAGAGAAGAGAGTAATCAGGAGGACAGTAGATAGCGATTGACACTGAATTTAAATTTTTGCAGATTAAAGTTGGCTGGAAAGCATGGAACCAGGAGGAAGTTCTAAAAGTGAGAAGTGTAAGAATTTATGGAAACATCTTTTCCGAGCCAGCTCAACTGTAAATTGATGAGATCTTGATGCCAGTCTAGTACTGTGCTTAAATTCATAAAGTCTAGCAAAGAGCTCATCAGGACAAATACCATGAAAGTATTTATAAAAAAAGGCACAGAGAAGCAACCTTATGGTGGTGGGCAAGTGACTGAAGCTGAGCCACCAGATCAGAACCTATAATATTGCTGATTCTTCCGTTAAGACTGTTAAGAAGTTATAGCTTCCAGTCAGATATGGTCACTAAATAATTTTTTCACTCACTAGTTGCCATTTTGTAGGTCAAGTTGGATTAAGCCTTTGTCAACATTTCTTCTAGCAATATAAAAACTGAGAAGATACTTGGAATACTGAGGAGGTGAAAACAACCAGTTACTACTGTAAAAAATGAGTCATAATAAAAATAATAATTTCATTGGTAGTGTGCAGGTGGCACTGCTGTTTGGAACAGCTTATATACTGAGTGTCTCTAAGCTGTGGGTAGAAGGGGAAACATAATGAGGGCCGGATTATCATTAGGCTAGTATAGGCTGCACCCCAGGGCCTAGGGTCAGATTATCCTTTAGGCTAGTATAAGCTGCAGCCAAAGATCCCCCAGGCTTTTATAAAGCAATGTTTTTAATTTTCTAGATGTAATAACTTCTAAATAGTTTCAAAAAATGAAATGGAGATCAATATGACAAAGTCAACTTTGCAGGAAGCAAAGAAAAGTTTGTGTCATTGTGTTTCAAGTTGATAATATCTTTGATTTTAGTTCAGAAGGTTAAATCTTAGAAATTTTTAGAAATTTTTATAAAGCAGTGATTTTAATTTTCTAAATGTTATAACTTCTAAATAGTTTCATAAATGGAAATGATATCAACATGACACACTCATTTTTATTAAAGTGGTTATAAATGCTAATTTAATTTGCAATAAATAGTAAAATAGTGATATTTCTTAACAAAATATTTTTATTGGCAAACAAAAGCTATTCTATTTTATTTAAAGAATTTGCAATAAGTTAAATAACTTCAATCTAAGTAAATGTTGCTAAAATATATCATGAGTAAAAAATATTCAAGATGGATATGTGCAAGTTAGAAGGTGGCTGTGTCTGAGGGGAAGGGACCATAATTTCATTAGCTTAGGAGGCTCAGAAGGGGTCATAATCTGGCCCTGAATGAATGCATTTACATTTTTGTCTCGTGTTTTTTTAAGTAAATTTTTAAGCTGCTTTATAATTAATATATTAAATTAAGGCACAGAAATATATATATATATATATATATATATAGCAGTATAGACATGACTGACTTTTGAAAATTTATAAGAATATTGTTGTTGGCTGTAAAACTAGCAATACAGTGTTAGGTATATTTTGTAATGTGGTGTTGTATGTATTTGAGAAGACTAAAATAGATTATTCTAATGCAGATACCCCTGAGGTGAGAGGCTTTGGGACCAGCAAAGTTAAATTGTCTTAAAGTTGCCCCTGAGCCTCACTCAGATAAAATGTATAATAAAAAAGGAATCAGGGATCAAGACTTTATTTGCTTCCTACCTTGATAAAAAGGAAAAAATAAAAAAAATTCCTTCCACAGGTAAGTGTGGGAGGAAATCTATACCATCTCATCTAATTTAGGGTCGCCAAGAGGTCATAATCATGTCCTGGATATGATGATCATCATCATCACAATGCCAGAATATCTAATAGTTGGAGAGGATATAAAATGAAATAATAATAATAATGACAAAGAAAATAGATTCTAATTTAAGAAAATTAATGACTTGCCCTAAATTGTCTTTATCCTGCTAGAAGAAATGGTTTTCTCAGGAGATTACCTTTCCTAATTATTCATGTTTATTCTTGTATTCTTTCCGGCTTATTTGCTACATTTGCTGATTATGTGATTCTCTGTCTCATATTTCTTTTTTTTCTTTTGTTATCTAATTTGACCTTTTGATATAATTGGTTCTTAAAGCATTGTTTTGGGCCACTATTAAGAAAACCTTTTAAAGTTTCTTAAAGTTTTCCTCTGTATAGCCATGCCAACATCAATTTATTTTCTATTCTTGGAAAAATGGTTGATTCAAAAAATAGCTGACTCTTGCTGGCATTCTCTATCATTACAAGAGTCATATCAGACCAAAAAAAGAGTATTACCACCATATTTGGGCTGGAGCTGCTCAGTCATCAATTTTCATGAATAGTTTAATAATAATGAATAGTGATGAATAGTTTTCCAACCTACAACACTTTTCCAAAGATGAAGCCTCACTCTACTCTATCAGTATTTTCATTGGAAATATTCAGATTAGATAGATTCCTTAGTTGCTCCAGTCAAGAATTTCAGAGTTTGGGCCTGCCAGTCAGTTCATCCTCATTCTCTTTGTATTCCATTAGTAAGAAGGAAGTTCCACACAGCTTCTTCTCCAGAATCATTACTTTGGGGACAGACTCCTGAAAAGATGGTTCCTCAATCACTACAATCTTAACCTCTTCAAGTCTAAGGTCAACTATTATCTATCCTACTTGTCATCATATTATGCACTTCTTACTTCTTCCCTCTATACCATTACCAAAATCTCATTCAGTAACAGTGGCTCTTAAGCTTTATATATTGTATGAACAATAAAAAAAATTGATTTGTCTTCTGAAGTTTCTATATAATTGTTTTTCTTCCTATTTTTGAATCCTCATTGTTGATTCTCTTGGATTTCTGTTTGTCCTACTATTTGCCTTCTTCTATTTGTCATTCTGTATGTTACCTACCATTTGTCTTTCTGTTTGTCCTTCTATTTGTCCTCCTCTATGTCCTTTTGTTTTTCTTTATGTTTATCCTTCTATTTGTCTTTTTGTTTGTCCTTCTGTTTGTCCTTCTGCTTGTTTCCTCCTATTTGTCTTTCTGTTTGTCCTTCTTTTGTCCTTGTTTGTTTCCTTCTGTTTGTCCATATATTTGTTCTTCTGTTTGTCCTTATATTTGTCCTTATATTTGTCCTTCTCTTTGTCCTTCTCTTTGTCCTTCTGCTTGTTTCCTCCTATTTGTCTTTCTGTTCATCTCCTTTTGTTTGTCTCCTGTTTCTTCTATTTTTTCTCCTTCTATTTGTCCTCCTTTTTCCTTTTGTTTGTCTTTTGGTTTGTCTCCTTCTATTTGTCCATCTATTTGTCCTTTGGTATGTCTCTTTCTATTTGTCCATCTGTTTGTCCTTTGGTATGTCTCTTTCTATTTGTCCTTCTGTTTGTCCCTCTATTTGTTTCATTCTGTTTGTCCTTCTATTTCTATTTCTGTTTGTCCGTTTGTTTGTTCTGTTTGTTGCCTTGTATTTTTCCTTCTTTTTCTCCTTCTGTTTGTCCTTGTGTTTTGACATTCTGTTTATCTACTTCAGTTGTCCTCTTATTTGTCTCCTGTTTGTCTTTCTTTTTGTCTCCTTCTATTTATCCTCCTTTTTGTCCTTCTGTTGGTTTCCTTTTGTTTGTCCTTTAGTTTGTCTCCTTCTACCTGTCCTTCTATTTGTCTCCTTCTATTTGTCCTTCTATTTGCCTCTCTCCTCCTATTTGTCTCCTCCTATTTGTCTTTCTATTTGTCCTTTATTCGTCTCCTTCTATTTGTCCTTCTATTTGCCTCTCTCCTTCTATTTGTCTTTCTATTTGTCTCCTTCTGTTTGTTCTCCTGTTTCCCTTTCTGCTTGTCCTTTTATTTGTACTGTTAGATTTTGTACACATATTGTCTGCAGTAAATAAATAACTTCTTCAGTCTTGAATATTCCTTTAGTTTTTGTTGCAGCAGTTTTTGATACAAAACAGAAACAGAATTGCTATGACTAATTTAAATAATACTATAGACCTTAAGCTGCTACTAATTGACTTTCAAGAGATTATTAATTTCATTTTATCTTGTCCTTAAATAGCTATTTTGTTTGTTCATCTTGCAGGTCTGGAGCATTTCATTCCCCCTCTCACCAAAATAAAGGTCATTTGCATCAGTTCTGTAGTTTGTCCTCAACTGAATTTAGTAACAGGTGAGCTGTTATATCCAAATAAAAGTTGCTAAAAAATACCTGTGTTGTATAGTAATCTTAGTACTGGTAAATATAGTATTAACAACATTAGCATTTGTATTAAAAGTAATAGTAGTATTAGTAGAGCCAAAATAATAATTTTAACAATATTACATTAGTTGTTTAAAAGTTTAGTTTCTATATTATCACCTATTATAATAAGTAATTATTTTCATGCAGAAAATATCTCATTATATTTTACTATTAATATATTTGTATATTAGTATACTAATACATTAGTACAAAAAAAAACAGCTCATGAAAAATATAAAAAATATATATGCATCTGACTAAAAGTGGTCAAATGAATGAAAAAATGGAAGACTGAGTAGTGAAATATTTTGTTCTAAGAAGGAACGTAATTCAGACAAATATTTATTCATGGAATCGTTTTTATATAAGAACAATGTGTCAGGAGACATACAGCAACCACTGGCTATTGTTTTTTACAGTCTATCAACTTTTTATAGTTTATTTAAATCCAGAAATTATTTTTAGATTGTAAGAAGTTTTTGGAGATAATAATGATTTACTGATACAAGTCTTATTAATTAACCCATAGCTGTGGGTGGAATAGGTGGATTCATACCTTCCTCAAGTGTATTTGTGTATAAGTGTATATAACAAACATAACTGGATTTGGAACACAGCTCTGTGATTTCCAAATACAAGCTGTTATCTGTTACACCACCTGCACATCCAAGCTTACAGCACATGGCATTCCCAAACAGTCACACTTTTAGTTACTAAGCAGACTTGATGTTGCTTAACTTTGATGATCATATAAGGACTGATATTTCAAGCCCCAACTGCTGGTTACAGTTTACATTAAACATTAAAAATACAAAGGTACACATCATTTAAATTTAAATGGTGACATCAGAAGTATTGAGATATTAAACTTAGTCTTCTCATTATCATCTGATTCACATGCCTCACCAGTTTTTTGAACAGGAGTAAAGGTTTATCCCTTGTTTCCTGTTTAGGATTGGCTTTCTGATTCCATCTAAATTTTACTTTCGCACTATACTTCTAGCCTCTCTGCCTGAACTCTGAAATTTTATTCACTAATTAAATCTTGACCTCTTCAAGTTTAAAATTATCTGTCTATCTTTCCTGTTATATTTCCCTTTCTTACACTAATACAACTCCACACAATAACCCTCTATCATGAGTGGAACTTGGGCCTTGTATTGGGTGTATATTAGTAAAAAAAAATACTTATATTTTTACCTTTATTGTTTTTAATTATCTCATTAATAGTAATTTTATGAGTAAAGAAAATATATTGTATGATTCTGGATATAAACTTACCATAGAGAATATAGAAATTAGTACACTTTCAATTTAAATACTTTTATCACAGTATAAAGAATTTTAATGTATTGCAAACATCCCCCTTTCCATTCCTACCTGGATTTATTCATTGTCCCTTGATATGCATCTATTAAGTCTTTCTCATTATATCTTTCTTCCATTTCCATCCTATCCTTCTATCTCTGTATATTTTTTCCTTTCACTAGGTGTTCTTTTCATTTTTTTTCTAGCTTTCTTATTTACTATCTTTCCACTTTCATATAGTCTTTTTTACTTACCCTATCCATTTTATCCCTTGGTTGCACTGAAGTGTAGAAACTGACAGTCACCATGCAATGCAATGCCATGCTCTGATCTCTCTCTCTCTCTCTCTCTCTCTCTCTCTCTCTCTCTCTCTCTCTCTCTCTCTCTCTCTCTCTCTGTGCTTTAGATTGCTCAGATACAACATCTCTACTAGACATAACATTTATGGTAATGGTAGGGATATTATTAGCCATTTCCTTATAAGGAAAAATTTGACATTCATTGGTTGAACAACAAGTAGTACTTTGTTGAAATAAAATTTTACAGTCTATACTACTTTCCTTATCTTTGATACTAAATTTATTAAAACTGATCCATACACTGAAGTATTTGAAATGTTCAGTATTTATTAATTGCACATCCTGAATTTTTATGATGGATTCAGGATGTGCATCATCACAGCATTTATTCCACTTCCAGATCATAGTTTCTGTTTTGGAAAGTTTATCTTTCCTCCTTGGAGCACTTGGTAGAGGATGTTGATTGTCTGTTCAAAATCATCCTTATCCCAACTATGAATAGATATGTCATCAACATACCCCACCACTTCATCAGTACATTAACTTTGAGAGAGATAACAAGATCAATGTCTTCTATTAGCTGATCCATTTGTGATGTGATAGGGAATGCTTAAATGATCAGTGTCCATCTCTTCATATCTGTGCTTGTAAATTCATATCATAGTCTAAGAAAAGATTAAATTGACTGGAGCTCTCATTTTCTCCTTGTCATTCTTCTTGATGAAGATTGAAAATATTCTGTATTGGTGTTCTCACATACATATACATATAGATAGATAGATAGATAGAAACTAAATAAAAATAAGTGTCCAGATAATGTAGTTAGAAAATAAAAGAAGTGTCAGGAGTTTTCTTAACTCAATATTTTATTGAGTGCTAAAAGATAAATGTTATTATTATGGCCTGAAAAAGGAAAAGGAGCTGAAATTATTGTTAACATATGTGTTGACAACCTGTCTGTGTGAACTGCTTGCCCAATGTCATGTGTTTGATTGTAGAGGTGCTCATCATGTATATTATATGCTATTTTCCTCTGTCTTTCTTACCCTAATTCCTGTGAGTATCAAATTTTCCAAGCCCTCCTTCCTCATTATATGCCCCAGAAATTTCAACTGTCTCTTCCTGATGAGTTTCTTTTTTATTTCTATTTTCTCTAAAATCTCATCATTGCTCACATGTTCAGTCCATGGTATCTACAGCATCCTTCTGTAGAATCACATTTCTGTTGCTTCAAGTCTCTTCTTCATCTTTGAAGAGAAAAATGTTTTTATTTATTTTTTGTATGCTGGTTACATATGTCATACACTAGGCAACCACTTCAGTAGGTAAGCTAAAACACATGAGTGGTAGTATTTACACTGCACTATTGGGCAGAAGAGCTGCAGAAGTGGCTAATAGTCAGAGTTGTCTCCAGATGAACTCAATAGCCTAATGTACAGACTGAGTGCAACCCACACCATTTTTTTCTGTGGGTTTTGGCTGTTGGAAAAAAGTTTGGAGAAGTGATAGTCACCTCTAAACTATCTGAAAGCCTAATGAAAGGATCACAAGAAAGAAGATGTAAAACAACATCATGCTCCATTGGTCGAGGCCCATATCAACATTGGCCACATATCTCATCAACTCACTTCAAGAGAGGCATGACAATGAACAAATGGAGCAATGAACAACATCAGGCTACCAACAAAGGGTACAACCATCAGAATGTGGAATGTTCAAGGCAAGAGAAGCAAAACAAAGTAGTTTGTGCAAGATGTTGTGGCTTGGAAGACGCACCCTAATTTTGGAAAAAAATTTCTAAGGAAAAAAAAGTCATTCTCATACAACAACACATTCACCATGTGTCCCTCACATACTGGTGCCACATATTGTTTACATTAATCACTCATTCGATTTTATTTGTATGTCATTGACATACAAGTCAAGAGCAGAAAGGCTCCCACCACTGCTAGTAAACAGAACATATTTAAGCTTGTGGCTCAGCTCCAGGAAAGTTTATAGTCTTGAAAATACTTATAAAAGCTAAGTACTGAGGTTCAATCAGTTATGTGCCATGCTTAGGCGATAGTGTATCGAAAGATACATGACTGACAAGGCAGATTCTTTCCTGCAGTAGGTTGCCATTTCTTTCTGCAGTAGACCAGTTGCCTCCCAAGGCTATGGAACCCAGTCTGCCCTACTATTTACCCATAGCTGAGGGGAGAAGAAGAGGATTCATACCTTTCCTGAGGGTATTAGCATGTAAGTGAATGTAATGGATTACTGAGGTTACATCATATAAAAGGCTGAATTAGATAGATAGTTAACAATATAGTGTAAGGACTCAACATACAAATTCAAGTCCCTATCAGTCAAGCCAATTAGGTGACCATACTAGCTTACTTGAGCCTAAGCGTTGATTTACATTCATCTTGAAAGATGCACACTTATTTTTCAAGGTATTTTTCTAGGAAAAAAACTGTCTTGTAAGCTAGAAAATACAGTAAATATTAAGAAAAGAAATAGTTATAAAAGAGCAAAGGTCTTGATGAGAACAAAAGACTGTAGACAGCCTCTGTCCTAAAGGCACATGGTACATAGTAAGATATTTGTATATATGAGCTTGAATCTTATTTGACCTTTATGCTTTTATATATATAACCTATATATTCATTACTTAGTAAACAAGTTTTATTGAAAAGTATAGACATTAGAAAAGATAACTGATATATAATACCTATATTTTTCAGTTCATTACTTAATGCATGCTTACACATTTATGTTATCTTATTTGTGTCAGTACAAGGGTGGGTCAAAATGTAATGTTCATCCAAATTAAAAAATATTAGTTAGAATTCCTAGATCAGAAAATGTATAGTGGGAAAAAAATTGCACAATTGTTCTTATCTTGAGATTAAGTTTGGGATATAGAATCATAGCTCTATATACAGCCATTTTGATATTATATTCATCACCTCTACTCAAGAATTTCATAGACAAACTTCTGTACAGTCGTTTGGTCCACACTTCAGCAGATATGGTAATAATATCTGCTTTAGTGCTCTTGCTATAAATCTTCAGATTCTTGGCAAAATCCAAAGAAGGGTTTGTAATGTTATCAATCCTGACCTGGCATCTCAACATCACCCCCCTTTCCCAATCTGTGACATGGCTTCCCTCTGTCTTTTCTATAAATATTTTCATGGCAATTGCTCTAATGAGCTCTCTTCCTTGGTACCTTACTACACAAATTTAAGTGTACTCCTAGATTGGCTATTAGATCTCATCATTTCAGTTGAAATGCCTAGATGTAGCCATAAGTTCTACTTTTGTTTATATTTCAGATATTTACTTTCTCATACTTCTTACCTGTGGAACTTTCTTCTTGTTTCTTCCTTACCTGCCACCTACAATCTTCAAAATGTTAATTGCCATCTTTTGTTTTCTGTATTCTTTTGTTGTTCTTTCTCCTCACTAAATTCTTCTCATTTTCTTCCATTTCTAGTAACTCTTTGCATTTTAGTGACATTATTGATTAGCTTATGGGTGAAAGGATTAAAAATAAACTTTGAAAATAATCAACTTAATGCCAATAAAAAAGCTCATAAATTTTGTTTAATTTAATATAAAAATAATGAAATTGAGAAAAGCCAACAGACAATTGCTGATACCTCCTGAAGTGTGAACCAAATGTCTGCACAAAAGTTTATCTACAAAATTCTGGACTAGAGGTGCTAAATATAATATCAAAATGGCTGTATATAAAGCTATGATTCTATATATCCTGAAAGAATATGGCACCACTGTGGATATACATGAAAAGCAAAGATCTATCATAGTATTTACATTTTTTTTTACAGAGAAAGCTTTTCAAATAGTCAACAGTGGTTAGTGAATGTTTATGGAAAGGCTGCACTTAATGTAAGCCCAGTAAGTCAGTAGAGCCACACACACACATACACACAAGAATTATCACATGGAAAACAGAATCATTAAACTGTGTTCAAGTTCTTTCTGTATCTCATCAATGAGTACGTATATAGGAATGTATGTAATCATTGATGAGTATGTGTGAGTATGCAATGTTCTAAGATTTTTCTGGTGCCATGTATTGTTTACATTAATCACTCGTTCGATTTTGTTTGTATGTCATTGACATACAAGTCAAGAGCAGAAAGGCTCCCACCACTGCTAGTAAACAGAACATATTTAAGCTTGTGGCTCAGCTCCAGGAAAGTTTATAGTCTTGAAAATACTTATAAAAGCTAAGTACTGAGGTTCAGTCAGTTATGTGCCATGCTTAGGCGATCATGTATCTTTCAATACATGACTGACAAGGCAGATTCTTTCCTGCAGTAGGTTGCCATTTCTTTCTGCAGTAGACCAGTTGCCATCTGGGTTTTTATGAATTTATGTTGTACATTCTTAAGCATGAATGTGACACTTAGAGCTGAAAGATAGAGAAAAGAAAGAAAAGGAATAATGAGACTGTATAAAAAGATAAGAAAATTATGAAAAAAAAGAAAATAACCATGACATCCTACACATGTGCACATACGCACATATTCAGATGTACAAACACACACTCATGCACACACATAGACAAAGAAGAAAATAATCAACCTAACACCAATAAAAAAGTGCATATTTTTTTTACTTAAAGGCACATGACACAGTAGATAAAGGCGTTGGTTAGATCCAGTGACAGGACCCAATGTTGTAAGTTCAATACCTGGTTAAAGCAAAGGAGAACATAGAGAGGTGAATTAATATGAGATAACTGATAACTGACATCCATTAGACATGGCACATGAAACTAGAACAGTCTACCCCAGCAGTTGAAATAAAGGGTTCAATTCAACATTCCAACCACCTAAAGAAGACCAGAGCATACAACGGCTGAAACGTTGTAATAAATATGGCAACAAAGATGAGGACAATAGTTTGAATAATGTAAATAGGGTTTTTTAACTTAATATAAAAATAACAAAAATGAAAAAATCTGCAGACAATTGCTGAAACCTCCTGATGAGTGGACCAAACAATTACACAAAAATTTGTCAATGAAATTCTGGAGTAGAGGTTCATATATGCAAAATAGATTCCATAGTAGATAGATATGCAAGAA